ACATCCTACCCCATCCCACCCAGCTCAGCCAGCCTCAGGGTCTCTCCCAACCCCTCGTATGCTGATTTACACTCTGCACCACTGCACCACCCTTCCGTATACCATCCTACACTTCATCCATTGGGAGGAACCAGTTTTTGTGTTTTTCCATCTCATACTTTTAGAAGGGATGTGGCCTGAGACACACAATTCCCCGTTAGATTAGATGCAGTAAATGGAAAGATTACAAAGAAAGTCTTGATCACTTTATGAAAAAAGATCAGGAGAGCATGGTGATATGTTTCTGCTCACTGTATCCAACCAATTCCTGCATCAGCTAAATTCATTATGGGAATCAAATATCCTCATTGGGGGTGCTCACAAACCACTGGATTCAACTCCACTCTCACTGCCATTCTTAGCTCCCTAATAGATGGTGGGCTAAGGGAAGGAACTTCAAATTCACCTCTGCATCAAGTGCAGTAGCAGACGGTGGACATCCAGAAATGGTCTCCTGTTCGGAATTCTGCAGGGGGCATGTGCTAGTGCTTCCTTAACTAGGCTATGAAGAAGCAGTTTAATGTCTGTCTGTCCCATGGCTACTCCTCAGTTGGAGCTACCTAGAGGCCTATGTCAGGTATTGGTCCGATTTGGGAGAGCTCAGCAACTGTTCTTACTTCGAGGGGGCTTAGAGAACTTCTGTGTACTTTATTTTTTATTTATTTATTTATTTATTTTTATAAAGATGACCGGTAAGGGGATCTCAACCCTTGGTTTGGTGTTGTCAACACCACGCTCAGCCAGTGAGCAAACTGGCCATCCCTATATAGGATCCGAACCTGCGGCCTTGGTGTTATCAGCACCGCACTCTACCGAGTGAGCCACGGGACGACCTTGTGTACTTTAAAAATGCTTTATTTTGTGCTTTTGTTGGGTGACTAAAAAGAGTTGCTCCTTTAAATCTCTAGCTCAGCCATATGGGCAGCTCTGTCGAGTGCCTAGGCATATCTACATTTTATTTCACTTGCCTCTGTAACACTCTTCAGTCAGCTTCCGCATTTACAGATGAGGGAGCTAAGACCCATGTCAAGAGACTTGTATAAGGTCTCAGTACCGTAAAACATTTGAGCCCAAGTCTTCCTGAGCCTGAAGCTTGTTTCTCTCCAGGCCACTCCCTGCCTGGTGTGGAGACACATATATGGTTAGCTGTGGAATACAGTGAGTGCACTAATAGGTCTGAACCATGGTGGTGGGAGTTGTGAGTCTTCTAAGCTTATGCTTTGTGTTTGTCCTCCCTCACTCCAGATTCTGCCTGATCAACGCAGGAGTCCTGTACCTCTACTTTAGCAACTACCTACAGATCGATGAGGAAGAATATGGCGGCACATGGGAGCTCACAAAAGAAGGGTTTATGACATCTTTTGCCTTGTTCATGGTATGTGTAGCTGATAGTTTTACAGCAGGTAGTGTTCATTTCATGAGGTGTCTGTCCATCATTCAAGGGGAGCACACTGTGTAGTTGGGTTATTTTCCAAAAGGCTCCTGAGGCTGGAGAACATGCCCTTTTCTGAGCCATATTGTCCCAAAAGATGTGGTGTGATGTACTGTACAGTCTCCCTCTTATGTGCAAATCTAGGGCCCATTGTCAGCTTCTACTTCGATTTTCAACCCTGGCTACATATTAGAAACTGGGAAACATTTAATATATTTATGGCATTATTCATAATAGCTAAACAGTATAAACCCAAATGGCCATCACCTGATGGATGGATAAATAAAACATCGTGTATCCATACAGTAGAGTATCAGTTGGTCATTAAAAGCAATTAAATACTGATATATGCTACAACCTGGATGAACCTTGAAAACATTATGCACAGTGGAAGAGTCCAGACAAAAGACCAAATACTGCATAATTCTGTTTATGTGAAATGTTCAAAACAGGCAAATCTATATAGATTAGTGGTTGCCAGTGTCTGGGGGATAGGGGGAGATGGGAAGTAACTGGGAATAGGCTCTCTTTTTGGGGTCTGTTAATGGTGATGTTTGCACAACCCTGGGTATTTACTAAAAACCTAATTGTACACTTTAAAAAAGGGTGAGCTTTATAGAATGTGAATTATTTCAAAGTTATTTTTTTAAAAATTATACACACGTCCCTGTGTGTCCAGACCCTAGCCCACACCAATATGAGTAAAATCAAAATCTTCAAGAGGGGTGCCAGGACATCTATGTATACATTTTTTTTTTTTTAAAGATGACCAGTAAGGGGATCTTAACCCTTGACTCAGTGTGGTCAACACCACGCTCTCCCAAGTGAGTCATGGGCCAGCCCTTATGTATACATTTTCTAAAGGTCCCAGGAGTTTACAATGGGTAGGGAGGTTTGAGAACTTCCACTTTGATTTGGAGCTAAGTATGTTTTTATATTTGTTGTTAATCTTAACACCTGCTGGCAGTATGGTGTGCTTTATGTGTATCATTTCCACATCTATGCCTCCATTCCCCGGGGTTGCTGTGTGGTAGGGGGAGGAACTTGTTGGGGATGGGGAGAGTCCTCTTGGGAGCAAAGGTGGGCAATCCTGGGCTCTGTTAGAGACAGCTTGATTTCAGCGAAGTAGTTTCGGTCCCCAAACAGATTATGCATCAGATAGCCCCTGGGGAACACCCAGAAGTATACATTCTCTGACATTTTTGTTTTGTGGAGTCGGGCCTATGTTGACCCAGGTGACCTACAACCATTGCTTGTCTCCTCTTTAGGTCATTTGGATTATCTTTTACACTGCCATCCACTATGACTGATGGTGTACAGCTCCTACCAGTTCCCTATCCAGTGCAAAGGACCCTTTTAATTACAGCACATAAACATGATTGTTGGGGCACTCCAGCCACATGGAACCTGGAAGACCAACCCATGTTTCCCGGACTGAGAATCAGTGTGTTGGGCATCAGTGTTTTCTACAAGGGTTGTGACCTGAAACTTTTTAAAGAACCATCCACCTTTGGGGGAAGCATTTCTGAATTTGTCCATCACCAACCATCTCTCCTTGGATACCATCAGCATGTAACAGCCGTTTGCCAAGTGGAGCTGTCATTTAGTTTGATACACCTCTGGATCTGGATGAAACATTAAATTGTCTTCCTCAGTCCTCCATCAGGTGTACAGGTTTTAAGCTATCAGTGGCATTTCAAGTCTTCTCAAAACAGTATGGCAATATGTGCGTGGTCCATAGCACAGTATAAGCAGCACCTAGTAAGTTTCCATTGTAGAATGTTTTCAGATACTTGAATAAATCAGATCTTCGACAGCCTGTTGATGACACCTGGTAAAGCCTTTCCCACCCCACCTGTAGCCTCAGAAGCCAGTATAAGGAGCACCAGAGGCGGTGTCTCCCCCTCCCATCCCTCCTTCTTCCGTTCCCTCCTCCCTTAGCAGCTCCAGCCAGGCCTCTTTCTCTTTATGGGAAGCAAGAACATCAAGGGCTGGAGATGGTGTAGGCTGTGGCCTTGATCATGGCATTGTACAGAGAGGGTTTACCAACTCCTGATGCCCCTGCCCAGCACTGAGAGGGGTAACTGGCCTCACTGCAGTGTGCTAAGCTTAGGAGGTGTCATTTTGTATTTGGCCACAAGATGGCAGGGTCAGTGTGGCTGGGAAAGCTTGGCCAAGACTGAATAAACCACAGAATGACATAGAGATCTGAGAGCTGGGGCTGTCCAGAGAAGGGGCTTGCTGGGGGACTTCTGAGGACCTGGGCTGTCAGAGGTCTTTCTCTTTGCTCTGGGGGTCAGGTGGAGGCTGGCCAACCCAGGAGCTGCTGTGGTGGTAAACCATCTGTCCACTCTGCTTTCCTTTTCCTTCTAGGCCACACTCCTACTGTCTGAGGTATGGTGGTGGTCTGAGTCTTGTCACCTTTCTTAAAATGATTTTTTTCCTTCTTGATGCTAGTGGTGGTTTCTGCCTTGTGGGTGAGGCTGTAGAATGAGACTCAACAGGGAGGGGATGGAGATGGTACTGGAAATCCCAAATTCAGGAATTGCCTGGGTCAGACCCCAGAGGAGATTTATTCTGTTTTGGAGGCCAGGCCCTGCTCTCAGCTGCTCCACACTTAGATTTGCAGGTGGAATCATGGCACTGAGAGGAGGTAAGTGACTTCCGGTGGCTGAGAAAGGGTACAGGTGGGGCTCTGGCTATACCCGTGTCCCAGCCCTCCCCTCACTGAGTGCACAGCTTTGCCTTTGGGGTGCTTAGCTTGAGCTGAGTTGGGGTTCTAGGTGCTGCAGCCTTGGTTCCCCTTTCGGCCTCTGCTTGGGGACTTGGCATCGTCGAAGGATCTATCCTCAGCCAGGCTGATGTAGGAGCTGAGGGACTCCCGGAGACCCTCGCTGAGGAGGGAGGCCTCCCCTGTGGCAGATGCTTCAGAAAACAGGATGGAGCTGTGGATGGGGGAAAGAGCTGGGTCAAGGAGCCTCTTCCTGTGTTCCCCACACAGTGCACTGTTCTCAAAACATCTGCAAGTCACTCCTGGTAGAAAACTCACAGGGGCTCCCCATTCCCTATCAGCACAAATTCCAGCTTGACTTCTCTGCTCAGGGCTGTTCTATCCCATCTCTTCTGTCCTTCCTCACATCCTGGCCACCTTGATGTCTGCTCCCTGACAACTCCACCCCACGCCCTAAACTGCTGAGCCAGGGCTGGGCTCCAGCTTTCTGGCTCCCAGGTCTCTGCGCGTGACAGGCCCATTCTGAGTTGTGGGGTACCAGAGTTGGGTCCTTATAATCCTCTTTGTTCTACCTTCATGTTTCCAGGGGTCCTCTTACCTGTCCAGCTCTTTCCAATTGAGTGGTGTTCTCTGAACAGTCACAGGTAGGGGTATGTTCTTGCCAGGGACCTGGCCAGCCCTCTGCAGGGCACAGGGCTCCTCGAGGAGGCAGCAGATGTCATCCGCCAGTTCTGAGGAAGATACCTAGACCCTTGACATGGCTGACTGCAGCCTGTCTCCCCATTATGCCCTCCCTGACAGCTTTCCACACTTGGCAGGTGGGGGCATGGTCACCAAAGAGTGACAGCTTGTGAGCCCCAAGATATTGGTCTCATGGAGTCTGAGATACAGTCAAAGGTCATCCTGGGCTAACTTTTGGGAGACATAATTCACTGTGTGATGTTGGGTAAATTAATGGACCTCTTTGAGCCCTAGTTTTCAGTAAAGTTCTTTGGGAAGAAAAGAAGAAAGCTAAGGAATGCTTAATCTCTACTTGTAGTACTGTCAGTGTCTACTGCACGGAGTGACCCTGCAGGAAACCCCTGGTTAGTTTTCCCTGGAGTGGTTTTCCCTCTCTGCCCTCCTGACACTGTACCCTGGTGACTGTATCTTCCAGTGCGTGGTACAGGACAGTCACCTGAAAATGCTAAGAATCAGAATTGAGTTCCACAAAGCAACAGCTCTGGGCCTAATTCCTGTGGAGAGAACTGCCTGCTGCTGGGAGGCTTTGGATCAGAGCCACTGAGGTATGCAAGGTACTGGCCCAAGCTGACACAGGAAGTCTGGCTTTTCTGTCAGGGCATGGGCTGAAGACAGGACCCCCAGCCTTTGTTTCTTGGCACAGGGTCTGGTGTGAAGATAGGGGAGACCCCCCTCTGTCAGTCTGGATATTCTCCAGCAGGTAAAGTGTCTAAGGGCAGAAGTGTCTACACAGACCCTTAATCCCAGTCTACTCTCACGAAGGCAGAGGAAGGCCATACTAGAGTAATGCATACCGGAATAATGGTCCACCAGGGCCTGGAGTGAGGGGAAGGTAAGGCGCGGTGAAATGTACAGCCAGCCATTGTCAAGCCGCTGGATCCTGTAATGTCTGATCCGGTCCCAGGATGCAGGGCGGCTGAGTCGGACAGACAGGGAGTAACAGCCTGAGGAGGAAAGGGGCCAGGGGTGGCACTGAGGTCCTGCCGGGACCCAGCCCTGCCCAGGTTGGGGGGAGGAAGAAATACAGCCATAGGGCCTGGGTAGAACGGAAGTGTCTGGGGCAAGGGCAGGACAAAGACTTGCTCTCTTGTTTATAAATAACACATTCATAATAGATGGGGCTCTTGGAGGATGAAATGAGATCATGCACATAAAATCCTCAGTACAGTGTCTGGTACAGTGTAAATGAACACTAAGTGTTGCCTGTTCTTGCAAAGACTCAGGTGGCACAAGGGTTGGAATGTGAAAACGTGTCAAGTAGATGTCAGCAAAGAGGTGGAGAAATAGGAACTCTCCTTCCCCTGCTGGTGGAAAGAAAAATCGGTGGGGGATTCTAAGAGGAAAATCCTCTTCCGGTGATTGATAGGATTTAGAAGACTTGAACAACGCAATCAACCAATTTGACTTAATTGACATAGAACACTGTACCCAGCAACAATACACATTTTAAGTGCACATGGAATATTTAAGATGGACTATATAGTCTGTGTCATAAACACAGAAATTTAAAATGATTGAAGTCATTAAAAGTCTATTCTCTTTGACCAAAACAGATTAAATTAGAAATAACAAAAAGATATCTGGAAAATTCTCAAATACTTGGAAATAACCTAGATATCAAAGAAGAAATCACAAGTGAAATTAGAAAATATTTTTAACTAAAATAAAACAAAATGTTATGGACTGCAGCAAAATCAGTGCTTAACGGTTAGTTAAGTATAGTTAGTATAAGTATTTAGTTTTAAATACTTATATTTGAAGAAGTATAAAATTATTTAAGCTTCCACCTTAAGAAGCTAGAAAGAAAAGAATTTAATGGGCTGGCCTGTGGCTCATTTGGGAGAGCGTGGTGCTGACAACACCAAGTCAAGGGTTAAGATCCCCTTACCGGTCATCTTTAATAAAAAAAAAAAAAGAAAGAGAGAAAGAAAAGAATTTAATGGGCTGGCCTATGGCTCATTTGGGAGAGCGTGGTGCTGACAACACCAAGTCAAGGGTTAAGATCCCCTTACCGGTCATCTTTAAAAAAAAAAAAAAAAGAAAGAAAGAAAGAAAAGAATTTAAATAGAAGGAAGAAAATAAAAAAATGAAATAGAAAACAGAAAAATCAATGAAACCAAATGCTGAGCTTTTGAAAAGATTAGTAAGATAGATAAACCTTACACTAACTAGACTGATCTCACACACATTAAAAGAGTAATAAGGGGCTGGCTGGTTAGTTCAGTTGATAGAGAGTGGTTCTGATAACACCAAGGTCAAGAATTTGGATCCCTGTTACCAACCAGCCTCCAAAAGTAAAAAAATAAAAACAAAATAGAGTAGTAAGGGTATATTATGAACAACTTTATGCCAGTGAATTCTATGATGTGCATGTAATCAACAAATTCTAGAGCTGACCAGTTAGCTCAGTTTAGAGTACGGTGTTGTGACACCAAGGTCAAAGATTTGGATCCTGGTACTGGTCAGGTGCCAAGAAGAAAAAAAATTCCTTAAAAGACACAAATTATCAAAACTGACACAAGAAGTAGAAAGTCTTAATACGTAGCCCTGTATCTTCTGCAGAAATTTAATTTACTATTTTATTCTTTGATTTTGGCAGCTGGCCAGTAAAGGGATCTGAACCTTTGACCTTTGTGTAAGATAACTGGCCAGCCCTTTATAATTTTAAAACTTCCCACAAAGAAAACTCTGGGTCCTGATGGCTTCACTAGTGAGTTCTGTCAAACATTTAAAGAAGAGATAATACTGATTCTACAAAAACTCTTTTTTTTTTTTTTTAAAGATGACTGGTAAGGGAATCTTAACCCTTGGCTTGGTGTTGTCAGCACCACGCTCAGCCAGTGAGTGAACCAGCCATCCCTACATAGGATCCGAACCCGTGGCCTTGGTGTTATCAGCACCGCACTCTCCCGAGTGAACCACAGGCAGGCCCTATCTACAAAAACTCCTTAAGAAAACAGGAGGAGGGAACACTTCCAACTCATTCATGAGGCCAGCATTACCTCAATATAAAAGCCAGACAAAAATATTACGAGAAAACCATAGGCCGATATCTTTCACATATACATGAAAATCCTTAACAAAATGTTAGCAAATTGAATCCAACAATATATAAAAAGGACAATACATTATGACCAAATTAGCCTTATCCCAGGAATACAAGGTTGATTTAAAGATTGAATATCAATGTAATTGACCAGATTAATAAGATAAAACAGAAGAAACATTACCTGAAGAAATGCAGAAAAATCATTTGACAAAATTCAACACCCATCTTGATTTTTCTTAAAAAAACAACTATGAATAGAAGTTATATTAGCTTCTTATTGCTGCAGTAACAAATGACTATAAATATAGTGGCTTAAAGTAACACAAATTTATTATTCTGAAATAGGTTTGACTGAACTAAATTCATGGTGTCAGCAGGGCTGTGTTCCTTCTGTGGCCCTAAAAGAGAAGCCACTCCCTTGCCTTCTCCAGTTTCTAGAAATCTGCATCTCTTGGCTCATGGCCCCTTCATCTTCAAAGCCAGTGGCATCTTCCAGTCTCTCTCTTGCTCTGACCCTCCTGTCTCCCTCGTGTAAGGATCCTTGGTATTACGCTGGGCCATCTGGATAATCCAAGAAATCTCCCCACCTCAGAATCCTTAGTCACATCTGCAAACTCTCTTTTGCAATGTAAGGTAATATATACTGACAGGTTCTGGGGATTAGACCTGGACATCTTTGGTGGGACCACTATTCTGCCTACCACAGAAGGGCACTTCCTCTCAACCCAATATAGAGCATCTGTGGAAAATCTACAACTCACTTCATACTTAGTGGGAAAGACTGCATTTTTCCTTCTAAAATTTGGAACAAAACAATGATCTCACCACTTACATTCAGTGTTGTACTAGAGGTCCTAGTAAGTGCAATAGGTGAGACAAAAGTATATGGATTGGAAAGTAAATAGTAAAGCTGTCTGTATTTACAGACAATACAATCTTACATATAGAAAATCCTAAGTAATCTACAAAAAAGCTGTTAGAACTAAAAAGTGAATTTAATAAGGTGACCCAAAGTCAATATACTTTGAGAAGTGTGGAGTAGGGTCTCTGCTTCCTTTTCTTTGTTCTCTGCCTGACGCTGGGGGCCCCTTGAACTCTACCTTTAAGAAGACTCTCTTCTTGAGCTGTGCTGTGACCTTGGAAAAGCTCTGTAGTTGCAAAAGGGCTAAATATCTAAAAATAGGCCCAGGAGGCTAGCCAACCAACCCAGCTGAAAAAGTGACCAAAACCTTACATCCTTTGCATGGTTCTTCTTCCACCCCACCCTGGCCACTACCACCACAGTTATTAGAACCAGAAAGGGTAGCTACATTGGGGATGCGGCAGGTGGGCTCAGGGATAAAAGGCCAGCTCAGGCCTCCACTGTGGGGACAGCTCACCTACCAAGGCCAACAACGTCTGGCCCTGGTCTGCCCCACCTACCTGGTATCCTGCTGTTCTCACTGCATGCTCCAGCCAGTCCTTAATATCTACTGCTCTCTCCCATTCTAGGACATCCCTTTATAACTCAGACTACCTAGGGGTTTAAAATCCCACACAGAACCACATACTGTTAAATCCCTGCCACCCGGGCCGGCCCGTGGCTCACTTGGGAGAGTGTGGTGCTGATAACACCAAGGCCACGGGTTCGGATCCCATATAGGGATGGCCAGTTTGCTCACTGGGTGAGCGTGGTGCTGACAACACCAAGTCAAGGGTTAAGATCCCCTTACCGGTCATCTTTAAAAAAAAAAAAGAAAAGAAAAAATCCCTGCCACCCCATGCTCACTAGCTGTGTCTCTAAGGCATGCTATTTGACCTCTCAGACCTGTTTTGTCACCTGTAAAGGGGGATAATAATTGTCCCAGTCATACCAGATGGCCATGAGGATCCAAGTGGTGAAGTAGGTAAACCATTTAGCACAGGGTCTGACATACAGCAAGTACCCAATAACCCTTATCAAGCCTCTGGTCCTTTGCTTATCCATTACCCCCACCTTCCAAGGCTCACTTCTGCTGAGGGAACTCCTTCCGGAATGCCTTCCCTGTCTGGGAAAAGCACCAGCTCCGGGCTTACCAGCCACCAGTGTTCTGGGGCACCAAGCATCCCGCACTGCCACTATCTCCCTCAACCCCACCCCACGCATACAACCAACTGAAAGATTCTGACTTATCCTCCCACCATCTTCCCATGTCAGTGAACAGAACCACCATTTGCTTACCCACCCACCCCAAAGCCTCAAACCCTGGAGTCAACCCTGCCTGCGTCCTCTCTCTCACACCTTACATATGGCCCAACAGAAAGCCCTGTTGGCTACATTCAGAACTGATCCAGGATCTGATCATCCAGACTGAGCCTGTGACAACTTCCCATGTGGCTTCCCACTTCTACCCTACCGCCTGCAAACCCTCACTTTGCAGCAGTTAGGGGTCAGGTTGGGTCACTCCCCTACTTAGAAACCCTCCCCGTCACACTTAAATCAACCCAAAGTCCTCACCCTGCTAAGGCCCTGCGTGACCTGATTCCCGATGACCCCCTCCCCTCATTCCGTCTTGCATCCTTGGATCGGTTCCAGTCCCACTGGCCCCCTGCCGAGAATGCATCTGTGCGTGCACACTCACATGTCCCATCAGTCTGTGCCCTCCTAATGCTGCTTATCGTTTCCCCATGGCACTTATCGCTATCAGACACTTATTATTTGTTCATTGTCCACCTTCCCAACTAGATTGTGGGCAGGGATCTTGCTTTTTATATGGTTGAATTCCCAGTGTTCAGAACTGTGCCTGGCAGAGTCAGCATGCAATAGCTATCGGTTGAGTGAATGAATCTCTGTGATAAATACTTCCACTGAGCCATGATTATAAGCGGTTTTAAGGAGTCATCATCATTTGCATTACCACTGTGTGAGCAAAAATGGTGTTGGGATCGATTTTTTTTTTATGGCTGGCAGGTATGGGGATCTGAACCCTTGAGTTTGGTGTTAACACCCTGAGTGAGCTGGGGATCAATTCTTGACAACTTATCTATCATGTCATGTGGAGCAAACACATATTGAGCATTTACGAGGCCCTGCCTGCCCTGGGTACAGAAGGCCCATGTGGAACCAGCTTTGCTGAAGACCAAGTGCTGTGGGACACACAAGCCCAGCTGACTGACGGGCTGCCAGGGCACTGGGGATGGTGGGGGGTGACTTTGGCTCTGGTCTTGGCATTCTGATGCTAAAACTGGCCTGAACCTTCTCATTTGGGGGGCAGTCTACCCCCGTTCTTCATCCTCTCTCCTGCTCCCAACATACGTACATACATGTACTCATTCACTCATTCGTTTATTCAGTAGACACCCGTTGAGCACTTACTCCATGCCGGACACTGCACTAGGCCCAGACACAGGTATGAAATCATCATACTCTTGGGAAATAAGTGCTGTCTCGCCAGCACATCCCACAGCCAGGGTTTTCCGCGATGGTCCTCATTTCAAGTATTTAGTTGCTGTATTCCTCAGACCATGTACCCTGGTTTTATTTTAAGAAACAGTTTAATTAGTCTGGACTTTGGGCCATAGAAAAAACCATCCAATAATACTCACTTACTTGGTCAATGGTTAGTTCTCATCTATATGACAAGATACATAATGTAAAAGATATTCTCTTATTACTTCATTCTGAGTTCCCTAGATCGCAACTGTGTTTTCAAACTTGAGAACAGAAGAAGTGTCCAGAGAACTTGTAAAGGAAGCAGATTTCCGGCCTCTACCCCCAGCAGTCTGATTCAGTAGGCCGGTGGTGGGGCCAAGAGTGTGTTTATTGTCAACAAGTTCCCCTGATGATCCCTGTACACTCAAGTCTGAGAACCACTGTTCTATGACATCACTAGGGCCCCTATCGCTGCAGTGTCAAACCACAGTATGAAATTTTGCTGTGACCCAGGACAAACATACTTATAAATATCTGAAACCAAAGTTTTTTTTTTTTCTGACTGGTAAGGGGATCGCAACCCTCGGCACAGTGTGGTCTGCACCACGCTCAGCCAGTGAGTGCACTGGCCATCCCTATATAGGATCCAAACCCGCGGCCTCAGCGCTACCAGTGCTGCACTCTCCCGAGTGAGCCACGGGGCCAGCCCTGAAACCAAAGTTTGATGAAGCAATATTTACCCCAACCCTGGTTGTAACCTGATGTTTTCCATTCTATTTCAATACAAACATACACTAGTCCAGAGCCACTAAATTAGTGAGTCTTGGCCCTGGCTGCACATCAAAACACCTGGGGGGCTTTTACAGATTCCAAAGCCCAGGCTACATCCCTGACCAATTCAATCAGAAACTCTGGGAGTGGGATGCAGGCATCAGTAGTTTATAAAGCCCACCAGGTGATTCCAACATGCAGCCAAGATCTAGATCAATAGTTCTCAAAATGCAGTCCCTAGACCTGCAGAGTCAGCATCACCTGAAATCTCGTTAGAAAGGCAAGTTCTCAGTCCCCGCTCCAGATCTACTAAATCAGCAACACTGGGTGTGGGGCCAGCTGTCTTTATTTTAACAAGTCCTCCAGGTGATTCTGACGCATGCCCAAGGTTGAGACCCATGGGTCTAAACCACTAAATTGGTTTCTGGGGCTGGCCGGTGGCTAACTTGGGAGAGTGCGGTGCTGATAACGCCAAGACCACGGGTTCGGATCCCCATATAGAGATGGCCGGTTGGCTCACTTGGGAGAGCGTGGTGCTGACACCACCAAGTTAAGGGTTAAGACCCCCTTACCGGTCATCTTTTAATAAATAAATTGGTTTCTTGACCCACCTGCAAGTCATGACCTGCCACCTTAAAAACATTGCCCAAAAGGAGGCCCCAGATGAGAGACTGGAAGTTAGTACATTTACCTTTCCTGGAGAATTGACACATTTCTTCTTTTTGATAATGATAGCTACATTCTGATCTATCCTCTTTTGGTGCTGGCTACGGGAACCTTAATCCAAGTAATTATGTGGATCCTAGGGATCCTTATGGGCTTTCTCCTTTACTACTCAGCCAGTTTCCCCTTGCATATGTGCCTTCTTAGGAAAGGGGCAGAGTGGCAAGAAGGGCCGGTCATTTTACCCCAGTGGCTGAACCAGGCCAGAGAAGTGAGGCTGGAGGGGTGGGGGAGGCACAGCCAACACGGAGAATTTCCTGTGGCTTCTCGAGCTCACTGGGACCCAGAGTCTGCAGCGCCCTGTCCCAGTCAGCACCACCGCTGTGGTTTCCTGTTTGCAGCTGCCGCACTTGGGCCAGTCCCCCACCCCAGCCAGATAGGTGTGTGAGAATGGGGGTGCTGGTGCTGCCTGAAAATTAGCAGGAGGGGCCCCAGGAGCTCCCAAGGGAAGCAGAAGAGGCAAAGATATGCTGGAGGGGTCCCCAGGAGGAAGACTGAAGTAGAGAAGGACCCTGACAGTCCATCACAGTCATTCAGATTGGGGCAGGCACCAGGAGGTCACTTCCCAATACCTCCTCCCTAGTCTGTCGCTGTGCTTGCAGTTCCAACATTATCACCCCAACTGGGCCTTTCTTGAGTGCCTGGAGTGAGGTGAACCTTGGCCAGGTTTGAATCCTAGTTCTGTACCTATTAGCTGTGTGTCCCCAAATTGTTTTTCTCTTCTCTGAGCCTCAGTTTCCTTATCTGTAAAATGGGGACAATGGAAGTACAATCCCCACAGGGTTATTTTAAGGCACTTAAACACAAACGTGGCTGCCAATGCTGTTCTTTCAACGTCCTGTTTTGCCCCCTGCGTTAAGGGACTCAGGGGCAGCAGCTCATAGGGACCATCAGAGAGTCTATTAACTTTGTGTTTTGTTTACAAACGCCCTTCACCTGGGGTAGGAGAAGTTCCACGTGAATGTGCCATGTGACACGTCCCTACCCCTCTCTGGGCCTCTGTTTCTCAATCTGTACAGGGAGAGGGGAAGATCCATGAGATGACATCTAATGGGTTTTCTAGCTCCTTATACAGGGTAGGGGAGTCCTGTGACTATACTCTATTACAAGTCCTGTTGCCAAAGTGCAGGCTGAGCCTGAATCCCTGCTAGGGGCCACTCACACCCACTTTTAGAAATGCAGATTATTGCTTTATTGCTGATGGGCTCTCACAGCAACAGCATGGCAGTCAGCCTGACTTCAAGACTAGGTACTCCAGCCCTTCACATTTGGCCTCTCACCCCCAAAGCCAAGTCACATCACACTTGGCTCTTGGCATTTGAAGAACAAGCCCTGGCATCAGTGCAAATCTCAAGTAGAGCTGTGTTTCCCAAAGTGTGTACCACGGAACGCTGGCTTCTAGTAACCTGGAGCTCCCTGAGAGCAAGGACCATGCTCACCTCACTCACTAGTATACATAGTAGGCTCCTTTCCCTTCCTTGAAGCCTCCCCACATAGTACTGGCTTCTAGTAACCTGGAGCTCCCTGAGAGCAAGGACCATGCCCACCTCACTCACTAGTATACATAGTAGGCTCCTTTCCCTTCCTTGAAGCCTCCCCACATAGTAGGTACTGGAGAAGCCTTTGCTGGATGAATACAGAGTGATTATTACTAGGTGCTGCGTGATGAGAAGTTCCTGTGTTTAAGAGTGTTTGGGGAACGCCCAATTAGACCAAGGTAAAACCCTGAGAAAACCTGTATTAACATAGATTGTGATTTTCTCAGAGAGCGATATGATTTTCACCGTTTCCCAAACTGACTTTCCCACCCTCTGTCTCTAAGGAAGTGGCCCACAGAACACACGTAGAGAGTCACTGTATTGCAGCCTCTTGTTTCCCCCCAAAACGCACACCCAGTGCTAACCGTGTCTCTCTGCTAACAACTCCCACTGCCTTAGGGAGAAACCCAAGCTTAGCTTGGCACCCAAGGCCTTCTGGACTCAGGTCTTGCTGGCTGCTCCTAACCTCCTGTCCTGCAGTGTAGCCCACTCGTCCATCCCCAGCACCACTGTATCTCGCAGCCTGGGCTCTCCTGGGAACACTCTTCAAGTTTCAGCTCACGGTTCACTCCTCCATGAAGACTCCCTTGATTGCTCCAAAGTTAGCTGCCTCTCCTCTGCCCTCCTAGTCTGCCTCCATTTCCCCTGCAGCCTGGGCACCACATGGCCTCGTACAGGCTGGGAACGGAACTGGGGCTCAGGAAACCTTGGTTGACTGAGTGAGTGACCGAGGAGTAAGGCACAGCCTATTCTCTGGGGAGGATCTGTAGGCTGAGGTCTCCTACACAGAGAGGACACAGGGTGGGCTGAGCTGTGGGCTGAGCTGACCCACCTCTCCTGGTCTGGCTCTCCCGGATGAGGAAGGCTCCTCCAGCATTCCCAGGCAACAGTAGCAGTTCCTCAGCTTTCTCCCGGCTCAGGCCCTCATACAGCCACCTGGAGGAGGAGCAAGGGAGAGAGACGGGAGCCAGCTGCTGGGTGGGCTGGGCCAAGACTTCACTGGAACCCCTCCACCCCTCTGTGTGACCAGGACAAGGCCCTCCACCTCAGGGCCTCAAAATTCTATCTGTACTATAAAAGCTGGCTTGGGGTCTCCAAGGGCCCTCCAGCTTTGTCCTCCTGGTCCTGGCTCTGCAGGCCTGAGAGGATGACCCCATGGGGTCAGCTTCAGCTTTTTCTGCCTATAAACCTCATTCCCAAGCAGCCTGGGGGGACCAGGCAGGGGCATTCCAGCCCCTCTCCTATCACTGCCCAGTTCCCCCATACCTCTATTCTATCCATCACCTTTCCAAGCCTTCCCTTTCCAAGAACTGCCCCTCCGTTTTCCTGCCTCAAGATCTTCACACAGGCTGCGCCCACCCCCTGCATGTCCCCTTCAGCATTCTCCACCACTAGTTCCTGGCCCCCCTCCAAAGCCCAGACCACAGCACTTCCTTCCCCGTTTTCCTGCCTCAAGATCTTCACACAGGCTGCGCCCACCCCCTGCATGTCCCCTCCAGCATTCTCCACCACTAGTTCCTGGCCCCCCTCCAAAGCCCAGACCACAGCACTTCCTTCCTCCATGGAGCCTTCCCGAGCCCCCTCCTCTGAACTCCCAGGTCTCCTGGGCCAACCTGGGCTAGAATTAGCAGCTGTCTGCTTCTCCTGAGGGCAGGGCCTGGGCCTGATTCTCCTCTAGCCCAGCTTAGCTCAGTGCAGGGCTGGACATGAAGAATACCGTGGGAAAAGAAAGGAGGAAGCCCCCCCAAGGTGGGCCTAGGGTGGGAACTCACCCATGGGAGACTTTGGCCACATGGACACTGGGAATGCTGTACTCTCTGCCTGACACTTCTGACAGCACTGTCCACCAGTCTCCATCCCTGGAGAGAGAAAGGAGAGGGGCCACCTCTTTCAGAAGTGTCAAGGCCCTGAGAAGTGCTCATTTGGGGGTTGCAAGGACCCTTTCAGGCTGGATCAGGCAGCCACCTGTCCCACCTCTTTCCCAGGCTTCCTTGCCAGCCAGTCCAGGTATCTCCTGGGCTGGGGCTGGATGGCACAGTTCAAGACCCCCCGTCATGAGGCCCTCCCCACCCACTGTTTCTCCCTGGGCTGTGTCAAGCGGACTGAAATCCCACCACAGAGTCACACCTCAGCACTCTGACAAAGACTTTGTGCTTTTCCACTGGGGGGAAGGGCCCTTTCTCCCATTAGTGCATTTTCAGGTATCCAGTGCCCGCAGACTTACTCAGAGATGACGGTCAGAGGCTCCCCTGGTCTCAGCGACAGCTCGGCCTGCCCGCCTGCCGGGAACCTGCCCAGGGCCACGGCTGTGGCCTTGCTCCCCCCTGGATGGACAGAGACTTCACCCTCGTGGCCAGTGCTCCCTGCAGATGTGAGGTCCAGTGCAGTCTGGCCTGGGTCTGGCTCCCATCGTCAACCCTCCCACAGGCACCCTGTGGGGAGGGCCACCCTGGAATCTGAAGCTCTTCCAGCGAGGCCCTGCAAGCCCTGGGGTGCCCGGGTAGCTCTTGAGGTCACCACAGAGAGAAGGGTCATGCAGTAAAAGCAGTGGGGCTCTGGCTACAATCCCCTTTTTTGGACAGCTCTTCACAGAGATTGATAAAGGGATTCTGCTGCTCAGGAAACTTAAAACCTATAGCTCTAAGCAAGTATCAGTGCGGATCTGAACTTAGTTTCTGGAAGGTACTGATAGGATGGGCACAGGATGGACCGGCTTTGAAGACTGGGGAAGGGGAAACTCAGGAAAGGCTAGCAGCTGGGGCCTGGAGTGGGCACAGAAGGGGCGTGAGAGTCTTGAACATGTGGGGCCAGGAGAAGGGAGAAAAGGACCTAGAGGCTCAAGATGACCTTCCCTTCCTGTGCGGCTCCTACGGCTCCCCTCATCCCTGCTCCAGTTTCCTTGTGCTAAGTGGGAATTATATTGCTCCTCCTCTCCAGGCTCCTGGAGGGGCCCATGAAATCACAGTTGTAAGTGGGCTGTAACTCTAGAGTGATGTGCACGTGGGCAGAGTGGCTTTCTCATGGCCTCTGTCCAGAGCAGGGGTATAGGGAGGGATAGGTCTGTGCTGGCCCCTGAGAAAAGGTGCCACACCTGGGCCCACTGCTCCAGGCCTGGCCCAGAGCAGTGCCTAGCAGATGCATGGCCCAGTCCAGTGTCCTGGCACCCACACTGCCGTCATTTGCTGAGCACCTGCTGCATGTGGGACCTGATTGGCTGCCTTACACATCATCTCGGTCCCCCCCCCCTCACCCTGAGGTAGTTGTCTCTAGTCATCCCCCCATGCAGTGATGTGCTGAGGCTCTGATGGGGCACTCTGCTGAGAAGTGAGGACACAGCTCTCATGCCACCACTCTGCCTCAGGCCAGGTCAGGGGGACAGGATCTGGACTGCAGTGGCAAGTCTCAGGAAGGGCTCAGATGCCCTGGGAGGCTAAGGTTCAGAGAGGGGGGTGACCGGCCTGTGTCACAGAACCAGAGGGAGACTAAGCCACCAGCCCTACCTGGATGGTCCTAAACATGCGGTGGCCACAAGGCCCAACCTCAAGGCAGGGCCTCAGGTAACAAGTGGCTTCCTTGCATCCCCTCGCCCACCTCAGCTATCAGCTGCCCCATCTAACAAGACATCCCTAAGCCTGCTGGGCTATCCAGGCCTGAAAAACCTGCCTTCTCCCACACTCCAGCACCTCTCCCTTCCCTTCCTCCTCATCCCTTTTCAGGAAGAGTCTCTGAGAGAGAGACTTGTGAGCACCTTAATGCATTCAGCTTGAGTAGTCATCAAGGCCAGAGAGAGTGTCACCTGTTGCATAGATGCTCTTGAAGGAGCCGAGGTCACAGAGAACTCTAGCATGCCCTCTAGATGGAGCTGGGACCCCAGGAGGTGGGGGAGGGGGAGCAGATGGACAGACGACCCAGGGGTTGGGTGTGGGCAGACCCAGAGCTGGATGCAATTTGGGAGGAAAGGCCTCTGCTCTGGGTAGACACAGGAAGAATGAGACTGAGTTTAGAAACAGACCAGTTCCTACACATCCTCCCAGAAATGCGTGGAGACCCCTGCGGTGAACTCAGACTGGAGCTCCTCACAGCCCAGGGTCTGTCCTATGAGCTGTTTTTGTGACACAAGGCCTGGCCGTCCCACAGTGCAGGGAAATGCCTGATGCTGGAATGAACAATGCAAGTCTCATGGAGGGCATTCTCTGACAAGAGCAGAACAGAGTGGCCTAGAAGGAACCCTTCTCTCCTGGGAAGCCCCGGCCTTGCACCCCTAGGGGGTGAGCCCTGAGCTTTAATGCTGTCCCCGAGTGGTCCCCACTCTGCCTGGCTGACTTGCCTTCATTCTTCACTTCCTGGCTGAAACATCTCTTCCTCGGGGATGCCTTCCCCAACAAGCCCCCTCTGCACACTCTCTCATTGTCCCTTAAAATATTCTGTCATCAAAATCCACCACAATGAGGGGCTGGCTGGTTAGCTCAGTTAGTTAGAGAATTGTGTTACAACACCAAGGCCAAGGGTTCAGGTCCCGGTACTGGCCAGCCGCCAAAAATGAAACAAAATCCAGCACAATTGCAATTGATTATGGGTTTAGCACGGTCTCTGGGGCTCAACTGTTTCTTTTTTTTTTTTTTTTTTTTTCCGTGTCTGGCAACGGATCGCAACCCTCAGTGTTGCCCCCGTACCGGACCGGGACCGGCAACGGGATCACAACCCTCGGTGTTGCCCCCGCGCCTCGCTCAGCCAGTGAGCGGGAACCGGTCTGTATGTGGGATCCGAACCCTCGGCGGGAGCGCCACCACGCTTCCCAAGTGGTGCACTATCCAGTGCGCCACCGGGCCGGCCCCAAACTGTTTCTGAAGGCAGGGACAGTGCCTGTCTTGTCCACTGCTGTGTCCCCAGGTCCCATCACACAGCCTGGCCCATGGTAGAGCCTCAGTAGATTTAAGATGCATGCAAGGCTGACGGACAAGTGTCTTATGGAGGGGGTTGACCCAAACTCATACCCTTGCTGGGAGAGCGTGGCTCCCCTCAGGCTCCACAGGCAGGGAGGGCCTCTGGTGCCCCTCCCAGGGGTGGTCACCATCCCTCTGCAGCTCCAGGCATGACTCAGAGCAGCCTCAGCACCGCTGCCTGTGGCAAGATTCAGAGGAAGCCAAGGGGGAGGTTTGTGTGGTTTCCAGGTCTCTTCCTGCGGGGCCTCTTGGTGACAACGCAGCTGTAAGGCAGGCAGCTGCCTCCCTAACAGGAGTCCTACAGGGCCCAGGGTGCCGAGGCCTGGGGGTTCTGGAGGAGGCTGGCATTACGGAGATGAGGATACTGGGGGCTTGAGCTGCCACTCAAGAAAGTCCCTGCCACTGTAGGGGAGTTTTCGGATTAGGGACAGCTCCTGCCCAAACCTGACATCATGGCTCTGCAGTCTCTTAGTCCAGACTAGTTGTGAGTCCATGTCCTTCCTCCTAGACAAGCTGCCCAGTTTACAGTGATCTTGTTGTCTGTGATGTCATGTGTGTCATTGCGGCTAGGCCACAGTACCCAGATATCTGTTCAAACATCGGTCTAGGTATTTTTTTTTTTTTTTAGATGAGATTACCACTTCTATCAGGAGTACCCTTCATAATGTGGGTGGGCCTCATCCAGTCAGTTGAAGGCCATAAGAGAAAAAGACTGAGGTCCTTTGAGGAAGAGGGAATTCTGCCTCCAGACTGCCACCGGGCTTCGGACTGCAGCACCAATTCTTCCCCGGGTCTCCAGCCTGCCCAGCCCCATAATCACATGTGCCAATTCATCAAAATAAGTCTCTATGTCTATCCATATACAGAAACACACACACCCCGCATTGGTTCTGTTTCCCTGGAGAACCCTAACACATTAATCAAACCCCAAATCAATATTTGAAAGGTTTGTGAGCTGTTTTGGGTGACAAGAAACAGACCTGGGGCCATAGCTCCAACATCAAAATACTAGAATTTCTAGAATATTTTGATTGTCTAATCATCTTACAAACTGCAATTTTCCCCAACCAGCCAGCTGCCAAAAAATTAAAAAATTAAAAAACTAGGATTTTTACTTAAGACTACCTTACAAAATTGTGGTTACAGGTTCAGCATATGCGTTGTATGTGGTATTTTTTTCTCCATTAAGAGAGCCCTAATATTGCTTCAAGCACTGCATTAACACTCCTCAGGTCCAGTAAAACTTTCTGCAATGACAGAAACATTCTATAATTTTGTCCATAGCTATGTATGGCCATTGAGTCCTTGAAATGTGGTTAGTATGACTGAGAAACAAATTTTAAAAATTTAATTTAGGGCTGGCTGGTTAGCTCAGTTGGTTAGAGCACGGTGCTGATAACACCAAGGTCCAGGGTTCAATCCCTGAACCAGCCAGCCACCAAAAACTCAAAAAGTAAACAAATAAAAATTGAAACAGCTGCATGTGGCTAGTGGCTACTGTAATGGACAGTGTGGCTTGGGGGTGCTACAGAAGTGAATTCAGCCAGCTCAATCTCTGAATAAACTGGTTGGGGAGGAGGAAAGCCTTTGGGAGGTACCTGGGGTACTCTCATGCCCTCCTGGTTTAATATTCTGGTTAGTCACTCTCAGATTTTCTCATTTATCTGGTTGTTTAATCCACTGCTAAATGCAAGAGCAGAAATCCTGCCTGTGTGGCTCATGGGGAAGGGCCTGGTATACAGTAGGCACTCGTTGCTATTGTATTGGGGGTGCTGGTCAGGAAGGCCCACAGAGGCAGTCTGTGGACTGTGCAGCTGCACAGCACCTAGGAAGGACCTACCTGCTTGCCCAGGCACAGGTCCTCGGCCTTCCACACAGGGGCCGGAGCTTGGGCTTGGCAGCCTTTTCCCTCTGCTGGGCAGACTTCCCATCGCTCCTCAGCAGGCTGCTCAGAAGCACATCGCCAGAGAAACCTGGAAGAGAAGCTGTGTGGGGACAGAGCCCACGGCTTCAGGCCTCAGACTCCCCTCCCTCGCCAGCTCGGCCCTGCTGATCTTGCTGATGCATGTGAATGACCTCCCTCCCGTCAGGACCAGACTGCAGCCCCTCCATCAGACTCCGAAGGCTTCCTGCAAACCGGATGCTGTTTCCCTGCATCCCATTTTTTCTATGCTGCAGCCAGGCTCAATTCCCTGTTTCTGGGCCTTTTCTCGTGTCCCCTCCCATAGGCAAGAATGCCCTTTCCTCCCCGTCAGGCCTGTCTGGATCCCACCCTTCCCCAGGAAGCTTTCCCTGAATCCCCCAGCCTTTGCTGATCACTCCCTTGGATTCAGTGCCCCCCTGAGAATCGTTTCTCTGACCTGGGATGACGCTCTGCTACTGGTGGCAGGAGACAATGACAGGACAGTGACCTCACTCCAGGCATATCAGGACCCATGGCTAGGGTCAGATGTTGACAAGAGGGAGGTGAGAGTCCTTGGGAAGCAGTGTCACGAGTAAAGGTGACACGCAACACACGGTTATTGGTGTCACAGGGCAAAGTAAGATTACTGGGAGGCTGTACGGCAGTGAGGACTGGCAAGGCTTTGGGGGATTGGCTGTTGAGCCATTTCCTCTCTCTGCACCTTTTTTTCCTCATTTGAAAAATGGGGGTTGCGATACCTAACATGTGGGTCTGAAACATAGTGACGTGAAAAGCCTGGCCAGGCCTACATTTCCTCTATCCTGTCCTGAACGTCACTTCATCAGAGGCCTCTCATGGGACCCTCCCCTTTTTTTTCTTGGCTTCCTGTTGTGTTCCACAAGTTTTAATTTTTCATGTTTGAGTTTACTTGCTTAATCTGCCATTATTCTATAGCTGCATAAGGACAAGAACCTCGTTTGCCTGCTTTCTCAGCGTTCCGCGAGGCACATTAACTAAGTGAACAGAAGTGATTATGAGCTCTTTGGACAGGTGTCTTACCCTTAGAATGACTTAGACCCCCAGGTTTCCAGGGTAATGCTGATTTTTCCAAACACGATATTAAAGTGTCTGGGGGTTGGGGGCTGAGTTTTGTATTCCTTTTCGGGTGGTTTCATACTTTTCAGCAGAGGGAAGTCACAATCACACCACCATGCTCCCATTCAGCTGGTATTCACTGAGTTCCCACTCTGGCCCACGCACCTACCAAGGGCTGGGAGTCCAAGGGGACAAAGTCACACTCCTTACACTGGAGGAGCTCATGGAATGGTGTGGTCACATAGTGGGCTCCTCCCTTATCTTTGAAACCCACACTGCCTGGATGAGAAAGGTGTGCATCTTTATGGAGGAGTGACTTCCATGGTCGCCTGGGCCAGGTGTAGGAGAAAACCTCCTGCCCCACAGGGTGGAACAGCCCTTTCAGGCTGTTTCAGGCTCCTGCCCTCAGCCTGTTTGCTGCTACCTCTGCATGGGGAGTTCACTGTTCATTGGGACAGCAGCTCTTTAACACAACATGTGCCTATCCCTTGGAAACAGCTCCTGACAGCTACTTCCTGCTCGGACTTTGGGGATCCTGGAGCGAGTGAGATGGTGCTGCTGCCTCCTGAGGAGGTTTCAGGATCCCTTGCTGCTCACACTCCCTTCAGGTTGTGAATTTTCTCGCTGCCTCCAGCCTCTTCTCGCCCCTTTGGTATGAGGCACAGGCTAATGCCCAACTCTGTGGACAGGAGTCCAAGAAATCCAGGGAGAGAAAGTCTACCTCAGGGAGCACGGGTGATGAATTCAGAACAACCAGGTTCAAGCTGTGTGACTTCAGGAAAAGCATGTAAGCTTTCCAAGTCTCATCTGTGAGTTAGGGAGAATAATGGCCAACTCCAAAGAAATGTGGGAGAATTAGAGGGCTTGACACAGAGTGGGTGCTCAGTAGAGCTGACTTTCCTTCCCTTCCTTCAGCACGACCACAACCAACAACTGCAGTAAACCCAGAACGTCTTCCCACTGCAGGTGGGGCTGGGGTTCAGAGCAGGAGGAGCTGCTCTCATGCTGGCAGCCTCTCCAGCACTCTCTGCCACTCCTTTCTCCTGGTCTGGTCAAGGCCAGGAAGCCACCAGGGGCAAAATAAAGATCATGCCAGTGAGCAGGCCTGGTGGGGGTGAGGGGTATTGGCTGAAACTTTTACAGAGAGAATCTAATACAAATATTTGAGCAATTTACTATGTGCTAGGCCCTTTCTAGGGGACCTGGGCCAGTGAATGGAAGGAAAGAGTTAGTAAAATGCATCTGAGATCAGCACACTGCTCAGAATTGTTATTTGACTGTCTCACTTGAGTCCCACTTCAGATACAATGACCAAAGCCCCCTCAGAGGACGACTTCATGCTCATGGTCACACAGCTGTCATGCAGAGATGGGCCTACCATCTACGTCCTTTGTGGTTTTGTGCTTCTGAAGATCATTTTCCAGCAGTGAGGGTAAGAGTGATGAATTTGGATTGATCTAAAGGGAAATCTCACCCTCTTTTTCAACTGAGAAATATCCTTCTGAGAGGAATTGTAGACTCTACAGCTGAAAGTGTCTTCAGAGATAATAATCCCCTCTCATTTACCAACTTTGAAAGACTGTGGCTCAGAGAGGAGCCTAAAGTCACACAGCAAGTCGGTAACCAAGATGGGACTAGAACAGGCATGAAGACAGCTGGAGAGAAAAATTATGTCTCCAGAAGGCAAAGGTGGAGAGGGGAGGCCTTGCTTCCTTCTGGGACCCCCAGAAACCATCCCTCTGACCACCTCAGTAGAACCACTGCCCCTTCTCCTTGAGCTCTTGGGTCCCAACATTAATAAAGCCCCTTCTCAGTCTCTGAGAGGACCATTCTTCCTCCCCTGTCCTGATCTTCCTCCCCTGTCCTGAGGCCATCAGAAAACAAAAGTATACTTACTGGTTTCTCGTCATTAGAGGCTTGAGGAAGGGTCTCAGCTAAGAAACATTCTCTGGCTGGTTAGGGCTTTGCAGGAGCCCTTTTGGAAGTCTGCCAATGTCCTTGATCCTAGGACACCCAGAACTCTCTCAGCCTGGGAGGATCTTCAGGGAGAGGCTCTAGGTGTTGGTGTTGGTTTGGGTAGCTCAGCATCTGTCTGTGGTCAGCAGATTGTACACTTGGGATGGGACAGAAGCCCAGTGCTCCTCCAAGATCCTGGACTGGACAGCCCTCCCAAGCACAGCCAGGCCAGGAAAGAAGGCCCAGGGCTCTTTGAGCTCTGCCACATAGACACAGGCGCTGGGTCCTCAGAGCTCCAACTCCCATCTGCAGACTCTGTGGTTCTCACAACCACCCATTTCCTCTGACAGCATCACAGACCATTGAGGAGCCACCTTCCCCAAGTTCCTGTTTCTGGGGGAGCAGCTGCTGCCTTGTCAAGATCCTAGAGCTAGAGGTTTTTTCTCTGGCTTTGTGGCTTGGTATTGTCTATGGAACACGGAACCAAGGTAAATGAGCAGGAGCTTCCCATGTGGGAGTGACCGTAACAATCACCGGAGGGGCTTAATTTCAACAACTTCTGGGATTCTCCTGGACTTTCTGAATCCAAGCTGCCAGAGGGGAGCCTGGAAATCTAAATTTTACACACTCCAAGAGATTCCTTTGATTGGCAAGTTTGGGAAGCACTGCCTTCTCAACCTTTAATGTGTATAGGAAACACCTGGGGAGCTTGTTAAACTGCAGATTGTGATTCAGTAGGTCTGGGGTTGGTGAGGTTTAAGATTTTGCATTTCTAACAAGCCCCCATGATGCCCATGGTGCTGGTCTTTGAATAGCTTTGAATAGCAAGATCTAAACAGTGGTTCTCAAAGTGTGGTCCCCAGACCAGCAGCCTCAGCATCACCTGGGAATTTGTGAGACATATGAATTCTCAGGCCCTGTCGCAGATCTGTTGAATCAGGTGATTCTGATGCATGCCCAAGCCAGAGAATCACTGGTCTAGGATAAAGAATCTGATTCTGACAGAATTGTCTTTGATCAATGTGGTAACTTTATCCCTCACTTCATTAAAATTTAACCACACCCACTAGCCACCTCCCCATTAGGGGGCCTGGTATTCTTGGAGACAGACGCTCTTTAACACAAATGGCCCATTGCATTGGACGGCTCCTGACTCCAGCTTGGACTCTGCAGTCTTTTTTTGGTGCCTTGCCAGCAAGACCACACTCCTGCTCAGGTTCTGTGTTCCTGGTGGTCCCTCAATCTCTCCTTTGCTCCTAGGGAAGGCTGGTTTGATATTTAACTGTGGGCATTTGGCATAGAGAGCTGAAGGAGCCAGAGTGGTGGCACATCCTCTGCAAATGAGTTCTAATCAGGATGTTAGAATGGGTGACAGCCATTCAGGGATGTGGCCTGTGGCAGGGAGGGAATTGAGCATGGGTCCATTGTTGCGAAAGTGAAAGAAAATGGCCAGGGCCCCTCAGGTGTTCAGAATCTTGCTGAGCATTTGATGTAAATAGGCACATGCGCCCAGGTGTTCCTCGCTAATGTAATTGCGCATGTGCAGCCTGATGTCCTGGGTTATGGACTTTAGGATGAGTGGCTCTGAACCATGGCGACCCCCACCCCCGGGATGCTCCCCAGGTGGGGGGGCGGGCATGGGGAGGCCACTACTGCTGGAGGCTGCTGCTGCTAGTGCCCCTGGGACCTTCCACGAGGCCACCGCCGGACCTGTAAGCTACCGGACCTGTAAGCTGCTGCTGCTGCTGAGGACTGAGCTCCTGTCATCTGCCAACAGCTCCCAGGATCTTTCCCAATTACCTAGCATGGACCTGCATGCGAGGAGTCTGGGGCCCCAGTCTGTACAATGGATTTGAAGGGTCTGAGCCCTAGCTCTGACAATATAAATGGAAACTTAGTATAACCTAAATAATGAAACATTTTGGCTTTAGTTATGATTTGCCTTAGTCGACAACTGGGGTTGTTGTGTAGCTTTAC